ACATACAAAGCAACAAAGAGATAATCTTATAAATACGTTAGAAACACATGGTTGCAGCCATCTTGATAGTTGACACTAAATGCTTCTAAATGCCCAGGTCTCTGTAGAATAAGGTCACTTTTACCTATGGAGAATATCATTAGCACATGTTCCACCAAAGAACTTTAATCTGGTGCTTTTAGGCTATTACCTAGTATTTTATCCTTATTAAAATTTTCTACATTGTTCTCAAAATATACTTGGCAACTATTTTCTTTTTTTCTGAACTAAGCTTCAATCAAGATTTGCACATTGACCGGGCTCCAGTGGCTCATGCTTGTAATCCTAGCTACTCAGGAGGCTGAGATCTGAGAATTGAAGTTCAAAGCCGGCCCGAACAGGAAAATCCATGAGACACTTATCTCCAATTAACCACCACAAAACAGAAAGTGGCACAGAGTTCAGGGACAGTCCCCAGACCCTGAGTACAAGCCCCACGACCAACAAAAAAGAAAAAAAAAAGATTTGCACATTGCATTCAGTTAAGTTTTTTTAGTTCATTCACTTTAAGTGTCATTATTGATACATTTATTTTTAATTGATATAGTAATTTTGCCTGCCTGTGAGATACAGTGTGATTAGTTCAGTATGTTCACAATGTGTAAGGTTGGGTCAGGATAACTGGCATATCCATCACCTTAAACATTCATCATTTCTTTGTGTTGGGAATGTTCAAAGTCATCTGTACATGCCATTTTTGAAAATACATTTAATTGCTGTCAGCTGTACCGCAGGACATTAGAAATTATTCTTCTGTTGGGCACTAGTGGTTCATGCCTGTAATCCTAGCTATTAGGAGGCTTCAATCTGAGGATCATGAGTTAAAGCCATTTCCAATAAAGAGCCATCCCAGAGTAGACAAAGTAAAGCAAGAGTGTGAGGCCCTGAGTTCAAACCCCAGTAACAGCACAAATAAAAAGAAGTTTATTTTCCTATCTAATGACACTGCTATCCCCCCCTCCATGTTTATGATTTTTATGACACTGATGTTTTGAAGCACCCAGGTTAGGTGCCTTAATGAACGTCCTGTGTTGGAATGTATCTAATTCCCTTCCCCCTCCCACCTCCGGTACTATTTTGCTTATGGAGTGTATACTATTTTATTCTTTATTTTTCTCTTTATTGCTCATGTTTTATGGATGAGTGAATTGTCATCAAGCAGTACATTGGATGGTGGTGAGTGATGGGGCTGAGAAGGGCCCCACAGGTAGGCAGACATAATTATGAAGGTTGTCAGAGCACCTGCAGTGTGACTCAGTATGAGGAGTGGGATAAACGTCACATGGGTTGTGTGTGTGTGTGTGTGTGTG